TTCTGATGTGAGTCAATATGCAGGAAATAAGTGAAGAGTCAAGTCTGAGCTGAATCACTCCCTTCACTAGGAACATCTATGGAAAAGATTTTAAAAGCTCTTGAGAATTCATATAGGCATTCAGTCTTTATTTTATAGAAGAAAGAGAAGTCCTAAATACTCCAACCCTGCTTCTACCTAGCAACTTAAAAGAAGCTGGAGAATTAACGTGCCTTTTAACCACAATACTAATACAAAAATTCTTCACCAATTAGAGCCATAACACAGATGACTTTCCAGAAAACAGTGTGCGTGAACTGAGACAGCAGTTATCTTGGTAACACCAAACAGCTACAGATGAATGGAGGGACAAAACAAGAGAGCAGGAGAAGAAGTAACCTGGTAGTTTGACTAAAACATTGATATGGAGAAACACACAGTGAGACTGACCTGTGGTTGGCTGGGGCGTGTAGCAGTTCCCTACCAACTGCTCAGCCAGTCTCCTGCCGGCCACTCCCTCCAAAGGAGTGAGAGCCAACAACAGGCAGGAGGATTGAACCCTTCAGAGAAATGTCTTGTCTTTCAGTAGTACACTAAGTTCAACTACAGTTTAACTTGTTGGTACTAATGTGTATTAATTTTCAGTGCATAAATCAACACTTGAAACATACTTGTTCCTCAGACCACTTCTATTCCTGATAACATTTTCTTTTTTAAAAGACATTTAGAATTCCAGTAAATACCAGGCAATACCATATATTCCACAAAACAGGCAAGAGGGCTCAAATCCAGTAGACCCTTTCAGCAACGCAGGATGTGAGTTCTTCATACAAGTGTTAGTATTGTACAGCCTTTCTTTCAAAACAGTCCAATTCCCGAAGCAGCTTGCCTTTGTATGAGGGAGAACTGATGGTCACTGTTTCATATGCTAACTCTAGAACAAGTACACAGGCAGTGGCATCACTGCAATCTGTTTTGTTGGCATATTCTCCAGGGGTCCCACTCACTTAAGTCTGAGAGGTACCATCACTTCCTCGTCCCAGCAACGCTATTACTAGACAATAAATGTCAACAAAGTTAAGGGCAAAGTCACTACATCTGCAGGAGACAAGATTATTTCTAGGGTACTTTTGGCTACAGAAGCTGTTCAGATGACTGCTAAAGGGAGTGATATGTTACTGGCAGCTTTTGAGCTACTGCTGGTGATGGCATCTGTATGCTCACTGAAGTCCACCAAGACTACCAACAAAGGGAACAGAAATAAGCAGATTTGCTAAACACTGTCTCATACAGCAGATTTCAATGCAAGATAAGCATTACATGGGTGTTTTAAGACGGCAGTCATATTCCAAGCTGAACTGGTCCACTTGTGAAAACACAAAATCTGTACAGCCTTAGGTTTGTTGGAAGAAATTAGCCCTATTTCTCAGTTAACTAAGGACAGACCAGCAGGGAGAGGTCCCTGTTTAGCACAAAACACAAAAGGAAGATGCCTGCATTTGGATTTTGGTTAAGCTGCAGCATTTTTAAACCATGCTTGCCTGTGCTTATACTTCCCTAGGGAAGGATAACGAGTCCATAGGGACAAGAAATAGGAACTCTGAAATGGGGTCAAACTGGAAAAAAGTTAACATACAAGAATCTCCTTCTGACAGAGCATTATTAAGCAGGCAAGTAAGGATACAAAGATGTGCCTCCCAAATTTTAAAAAGTCAGAACTGGCAAGAAATGGTGAAGAAATTATCACTCCATTTCCTAACCTTTCACCAAAACGGCAAAGACACGGACACAGGAGTGAAACCTTCTGCCTGTTACAGTTCTTCTAGAGCGTGTAACTCAGACTGATGTGGAAAACAAAGGTCATGAGAAACATATTTGGTATTCATATATGACTGCGTAGCCAAAATAACTCTTTTCTTGCGATATCAGCCTAGCTTCTCCTTCCTTCGTCTCAGCAGATTCAGAACACTCTTAGATGAAAAAACAGTAACAGAATACACAGAAATAAAGAGCAACTAAGGAAGCAATTAAAGGCTACCCTATTTTACATGAGACACAAGTCAAAGTATTACAAAATACAGTATCTTAGAAGTAAAATCTCTGACTTGTAACAACTTCAGAATGATCTGAGCCACAGTGATCAGGAAGTTCAGAAGTTAGTTTTGCTCATTAAAAAGCCAATGAGCAAATTTTTAATCTCTGTTTTGCCTGAGAGCTAAAGACAGAAGCGCTAACACCAATATATCAGTAAAGCACATACACAACAGCTAAGTTACCTCTTTCACTGCCCAGGAATTAAATGACAAAGACGCAAAGACACCATGGTACTACTTGAGCTCTTCAGGACATGTTGAGCTGCACTAGATCCACAGTGATGAAAGAACAAACAGAATGTGATAATGTCAACATGATTTTAAGGTACAGGAAGAGTGTAACATGCAACATTATGTCCCCAATATTTACTGTGTCCTGTCTTCAACGGCTCTTACTGTGGTCAGAAACTACAGTGATGGCAAAAATGTACAGAAGAGAGTAGAGAAGTGGGACAGAGTCCCAAAGTGCAGGAGGGTCTCAGCAACAGAATACAGGTTTGACCAGAGAGTCTTCTTTGACATTTCTTACATGTTTTATCAATGTTGTACTGAGGCACTTTGTTTCAGTGAGCGAAAAACATTCTCCAGGTGAAATAACTCCCTTCTTTCTACTTCATTACTCTTAAACATTTATATGGAGTTACAGAAGAAGAAAAAAGGCATTACCTATGCTGTATGCCATTGCAAAACTGTTCTGTGTTTGACAGGAGCAAGCAGTTAATATTCAATATGACATACGTTTTCAATGCAACAAAAAGTCAATTAAGAAAAGGAGTTACTAAAATTGCATCCTTGTTCAAACTCCATCTAAACAATACTTGCTCAGCAGTGCACAATAAAATCAATAAAATTAATCTCCTCAGGGTAGAGGCATTTCTTCTAGTAAATTTAAAGTTACAGAAAAATTTTAGTTGTTCTTTTGTTTTGAAAATATGGCTACTCTATTTAGTATCTTTTTTTTTAAATGTAGTAATTTGCAACGCAGTAAGATGCTCAACCTGTGCTAAAAGCCTCTATTACGAAAAGCTCTGCGATCAAGGATTTGCCTGTTCAATTACAACACCCTATTCCATATTCCACAGTTTCAGAAGAATTATAGGGTTGTTCTTTTTTGAAAGCAAGCAGTTGCCCTCTCTAACAGCTTTTTGTTATTACTTTCATTGAAGAACGTCCTTTATTTTTCATTTATTTTGTTTGTAAACATCTGTTTTATATGTCCTTAAAAGCAAGGGGCACTTTTATTGCTCAAATTAGTTAATATGACGATTAATTCCCACTCCCAAACAAGTCCTGCTTCCTGAGTTAGATTTACATAAGTGTTGAGACTTTCACAATGTGCTTAATCAGATATAGACAGTGACATAGTACACAGTTGACAGCAACAGCTTCAAAGAACTTCAAATTCCACTACATCAAATAACATCTGAGGATGAGTGACATACTCAGCCTACAGAGAAACAGTAAAAATACATTTTAGCTATTAAAATTTAAATTATTATATTTCAAAAAGGTATCTTCATAACCCCATAATCAAATGGCTTCTACCAACAGAAACATTTCCACGTCTAGAAAAGCATTCTAAAGAGTCCCAGAATTGGATATTTATGGAAATAAGCTGACTCCTGGATTGTCATTTTGTTTTCATGTTAGCCATACTCTTTCTGAAGTTACAAATACAAAGAAATTTTCTGTTGCCATGATATAAGATTTTGCTATCAGTCGTGACAGATAAGCCTATATTTCTGCTCTGACTCAAAGAACTGAAGAACAAAAGCAAACGTGTTGAAACTGATACATAAGAACTACACTAGTTTTGCCTAAGTGAATATATTAAAATAATGTAAGATAGTGTCAGAATAAGAGTGCATTAACACAGTAGACCCTAAAATGAAATTCGGACTCAAAATTTAGAATATTACTAAGTGTCCAGAAAACTTCATTTTGTTCTGATACCAAAATCTATATATATTTAAGTATGATGACAATGATCAGATAGTCATAGCTGTATTATGTTTAATCCAGTTTTTACAATTCATAGTAAAAAGGAAAGACTGAACGTGAGTGCAGTCTGTCAAGCTGAGTCCCTATCAAGCTCATACAGCCTGTGCTGAAATTTGTTCTACAAAATTGTCTTAACTATTACCACTGCAAGATGGATTAAAGCTAGGGGAGTATGCCTACTCAAGCTATTCTTATGCCATGTGGCTGAGTAAATATAGTATTTAATGCTAGTTTTTATGACATGCAATAGGACACAACAGATGCTGCAAAATTTGAAACACGCACCATGAATCTGTCTTCACTAAAATGGACATAACCCATTCATTTCCAGTCTGGCAGAATATGACAGCATCAAAAATAATTTTAAAAAAGAAGGCAACAAATAACGAATCGCAGGGTTCTTTTCAAATTCCCAAGTATATATAATAGTTTACTGAAAGCAACACTATTTTGGGTAACAAAGGTATTTAGGTTACCAGTACCATCTCTAAATGCTAACACCACGTGATACCAAAACACAACTTAAATAATTTGGAGGATTCCAGGAGTTAATAGGCCTTCTAGGTACAGCATTATCCAACAGTATATTTTCATGCTAAAATGGAAATTACATATATTGCTTCAACTTAAAATGTTACAGGACTGTTTTCTGCATTGGTAACTTAGTTGATACCATCTGTGAGAGGCCACTGACCTGTGATACCACAAATCATTTTCTCACAATAACACGATCAAACTTGCTTCTCTCAATAAGTATAACTGCCCTTCAGATACTTCAAATTACAAAACATCAAATTCTAGTGCAGTGTTTCAAATGCACAGAATGCACACATATTCCTGTCATCAGACTGACAGAACTAGAAGCAGTAATCACAGTGCAAATAAAAGCATACTGTCTTTCGGTTTTTGCTCTTTTTTTTTACTCACTTTCTTAATAAAATCAGGTATCTCCTTTTTGTCTGAAAGCTGGTTTAAAGAGGAACAGCACTCTACCTCCAAGACATATCCTTCACTACGGACATCACCTTTTGGAGACCTAAAGAGACAGATAAAAAAAAAGAATCAGCTTCTGTTCTTAACAATGGATATCCAGACACCCCCTTTACAAATATTTCCCATAGAGAGCTAACCTTCAGACAAAACTTCGTTTCCAGCACATTCATTCCTTAGAACTCAACACAATTCTGGCAAGCGGCAGCTACAGCATCTCACCTCCTTGCTAGAGAAGGAAATCACACTAATGACTGCAGATGGTGGAATGTCTCAAGGTCTTCCAAATTTCTTCATCTGTCCAACAAACACTTTGTCAGACTGGCATCTCTGACCAACGCCAAGGAGATGTACAGGTGATGTAACTCAGAATATGCAAAAAGCAGGTTCCAGTGCAACGGGCTGAGAGATGCTCTGGGCCCCATGGGGCACCCTGATGTAGGGCCTGTTGCACAGACAGCAGTTCAATGAATCCCTTATCTACCACCATTTTAAGCCAACATCTAAAAATCAGGGGGTAATCAAAGTAGTCTGTCCTTCAGTCTTACCTCATGCTTTATTGTTGAGAAATGTAACGCTATGTGTGAAATCCCTTCTCTTTCAGAAGACACTAAGTCCTAAAATAATTCAAAGCGTATGGCATCTGCCATATACATCGCTGAACAAATCAGTGCTATGGAAACATATCGGTCAAAATATGCCAAGGGAAAGTTTGTAAATTATCCTGAATGATCTTGACAAATGGTCTGTAGGCATGCACTGCAAAGCAGTGCTACTGAAGGCAGTTTTCATCTCCTCTGGACTCCCATGAAAGGAAACTGATAGGCCTGATCAATAGAGAAAATCTAGAGAAGCATTTGTTTTATCAGCTTGTTAGCAAAACATAGGGCATAATGTACAAAAATAAAAGCCAGCCTATAATTCTTGGGATTAATAACAAAGTAGTAATCTTAACATCCCATGTACAGAATCAAAAGATCTAGTTTGAAATAAAGAGCTAACCCTGGTCAGCAGTCGCTTGATGCACTCGGTACCTACAGGACAGAAAGAAAGGTGCAGAAGTTTGAACCGAGAGTTCAAGCAGCAAAACAACAGAACAAGGGCTTTGAAGGCTTGCCATGCCTGCCAAAGCAAGTCGGTGTAAAAGCCCTGTTCTCGGGACTGAGACTGTGCGACATGTAAAACTCACTCCAGGTACAGATGGTCCCAGGGGCTTTCCCGAGATGCTAACAGTTACTCGGAGACATGAGATGCGTAGGCTGCTGACTGCAAACTGGCAGTGTGTTTCCTAGGCAATACTGCAGAAATTTTCTGAAGTATCACACAACATTATATTTTTTACTTGATCCTCCCACTTTCACACAGTCTATACTCTCAGTTCATTTCTCTTATCTCACTTATACGTGGGACAGGCAGTACCAGACTATGAATTGTTTGGGAACACTTGAAGTCCTTTCCCTATTTGTTTTTCCTCTGCTTTCTAGGTTCTTCTCACAACTTGTGGTCCCATTCTGTTCTCGATTCTGGACAAAAACTTTAACACAACATTGGTGTCCTAGGAAACTCTCCAAACATCTTTGTAGGACTTACAGAAATCATTATTGGGGACTAAAAGTGTTCCACCACTACTCCTCTGTAACAAGCATACAGAAATTAATTTAAGCACCAAAGAACAAATTTGTCAGGGGAAAAAAAAAACAAAACAAAACACAAAACCATTTTGTAAGGGACAACACATTAACTGCAGACAACCATTTTGCTGTTCTAGATAAAATAATCTATTATGTGCAGATTTTCTGCCACCGATTAATTCAATGAATTCAAGAAAACAAAAATAAACAAGTCTCTTTGCTAGAGTACTTACTAGTATACCTACATTTTTTTCTAAAATCTGAATCTGGCTAACTGGCAATGCAGCCCTGATATTATCTAGCCATGTTCCAGATAGAAATAAGTACAAGCTAGGGCTCTCTAATGCTCTAGTAATCAATAAAGCATCAAAACTGCCACTTGACATTGCAATGCAAAGCCCATACAACAACAAATGGAGAAAACACAATTCTCTAGTGCTTCAGTTGTGGTTTGATTACAAACCAGAAGTGGGTTACCAGGAACAGGCAGCAAGGAACCAAGTCCTTTTTAGGCAAGCAATCCCATTTTTGGAGGACAACACTAAGCCTCTACAAATGTGAGGAACAAACGTCTCCATCAGTTCCAGTTCCCTCACTGGGATAACCCACCGCACTCATCACAGCCCCCTTCCAGCCTGGCTGAGGAAGCCATACGCCCAGCCCAGAGACTTTGGAATAATACAGCTCAAATTCAAATTTAAGATGTCAAATCCCAGAAATTAAGAACATGCCATGCTATTTCTGTGCCCGCTCTTTCGCCAAGGCCTATTCCTTACATAGGGACCAAGCCTCCATGCAAACTGCAGCGCTGCTGTAAATACTTGCTGTGACAAACATTAAAACTTACTATTGTAATTGCTCCGAAAGAATGAGAAAGATATTTTTGTGTTTAAACCCACTGGCTACCCATAAAACCACATTGTTTTCAACCTACATTGGTGAGGTTTATACCCAGGTACAACGAAGAGGGAAGCATGCCCTTGAACCTTTTTTAATTCCTCTCCTCCCACCTCAACAGCTCCCTGGCCCTGATTTTGTGCAGTTTTTGGAGGATCTACTTCCAACTTCTTTGAAAGAAGTATAAGTTATCTGAGATACAGATCATATCCATAAAAATATCATTATTTTTACTGCAACTGCCTAAAATGACCTGTTTATTTTTCCTCCTTTAACAAGCACTTACTTTGAAATATACTTGCTGCTTGTAAATATTTAAGCAAAGAGCAGACAGAGAATTCTTCCTCTAAGAGTTTCAGAGCTACCTCTGCACTAGGGCTGATGAAAGAAATTGCATCAAATACCATTGCACTCTGTTAGGAACATTATTCTGCAGTACACACGTAACAGATCTTGCTAAAGACAGTAGTCTTTAGTTAAAATCTTCCAGCACAAGCACCATGTATTACCAAAAAGTATTTTCCCGTGCCTTCAAGAAAAATATGTCCATATTTGTTAAAGGCAAGTCTTTGTCTATACTCATAGTTTTCACCTTTTCAGGAAACATGTAAGAGCCTATTATCTGTCAAAAACAAACAAAACAAAAGCCAGAGCTTTTCACAAGAAAATAATAAATAGCTATGAATTTCACAGACTGTAAGAATAATTTTATGAGCAAATCCAGGTGGGCGAGAAATTATTTCCAGTCTCTATATAATAATGCATTTCATAAATTAATTACAAAGTATTTCATAAGTATCATAAAAGTCTCTCAATAGAACTCTTTGAATATTATTAGTATAGCCATACAGAACTAGCTAAACAAAGGTACAGGTAAATTCTATACTGAACAGAAATTATTATATTTTTGGTTTCATTCATTTAATGGGGCTACTTTTAGGACCACTTTCATTAGAGACTATGAATTAAGACCCCCAAATATGCACATCTGTCACGACCACAGAAGTCAGAGGAAAGGTCAAAAGCAGAGCTCACATCTACTGACTTCAGTCTTGTACCCCCCCCTGTTCTCTTCTGAAGAGGGACTTATGTCAATCATTTGAGAAATAATCCAATAATCCATACTCTGGAGTCTCTTATCAGTTTTATAGCAAAGAAGTTACCAGCAGTCCAATGTATAAAATATTTTAAAATTAAAGCAACAGCTTTACGTAAAGTTAATTTCCACTTTCCCATCATAAAATATTTCTCAACAGAAAGTGAAAGAGAAATGCTAAGATCATTTTTGTCAAAAAAACATGTAAGCCTGAACAGTCTGAAAGATCTTCCTTTTCTTCTGGATGTAGTCAGCAATTTCTTCCTCTTCTCTTCCTCCACCTAGGTTGGAAAATGGGATCTTCCTACCTTCATTGTCTTCCAACATTCAATTTTTTTTAATTACTTTTGCTCCTCTAACAAAAAAACCCCTGGGTTAATTAAAAATGGCCCATTCCTGAAAGAAGCACACCTGGATACAGTAATGCTGTACCCTTCTTGGAAGCTAAGACAAACTGGAGAAGCTGGTACACCCCGACTCATTACAACGCTTTGTACTCACCCTAACGCATTTCGTGATACCTGAGAGGGAACAGAAGGGACAGGGAGAACAACTCTATCGCTTCACCTGCAGTGAGGAAGGGCAGTCTCCTGCTCACCGCCCAAGGAGAGGCTAACCACTAGTTAATCACGAAGACTGACAGAAAATTTCACTGTATCTTATACATCCTGGGCTTTCATTTGGTTTTCTTCCTTTGCTATATATCTCATTGTTTGTTAATCTTTGTCTATTTTCCCAAAGATAGATTTTTCTGTCACTGTAGGTAACCTCAGTGAACACCATGGACAACCTTAACGAGGGGGTGCCAAAGAGCCGAGAGGGAATTTCAGTCTACCTGGTGCTGTGCAGAGGGCCGTTAGGGCTGAGGGTAGAGGGTACCTTCAAGTGTTAGCGACATGTGAAAGGCTGAGGACCACACTCTTGAAAAGAGTGGAGTCTTAAATCCTAAACAGGACCTCTAGTGCCACTAAAGAAGAAGAAAATACAGAGAATAAATAAGATTTTCACTAATAATTGGAAGTTCACTGGCCAAAAATATTTTACAACGGTTGTTTCAGTAGGCTGTCATTTCCTGCACAGCTGTTTGCAGTTAAGTGCCATTTCATGGCAGATAAACCATAACCAGCTGTAACTTACACAGTAACTATTAAAGCTGATAACTTGGTGTCTGTTACAAACAGGATTTCCAGTCCTTTTCAGATACAAGAAGAAAATGAGGGAGCCAACATTCAGCCCTAATCTGCCTGAAGTTCTCCATGCCCACGAATTTGGAAAACCAAAAGCAAACTTGTAAGCTGCACAGACACTCTAACGACTATTTGAATAAGATGATGCTAGGAACATACCTGCAGTTATGAGATTTTCCACTACACAGGAATAGCTCTACCATTCAAAATATAACTGTATATTTATAACAAATTG